ATACCCAGGTCCCACCTTAGAGATTCTCATTCGGTAGGTCTGTTTTGAGGACCTGAGAATTTGCATCTCTAACTAACTCCTAAATGATACTGATGGTGCTGGTCTGTGGTTCATACTCTGAGTAGCCCCGGTTTAGACTGAGTAGTGAGTGTTAAGCCTTTTTTGTCAGCTCCCACATACGTGAGGACTGACTCATTTCTGCATGGAACACTCCTCTGAGATAAGCACTTCCCAGGTTTTTCATCCCCCTTTTTCCCTAATCAAGGAACTATTGTGGAATGCTAGTGAGTGTGTCATTGACAGGGGCAACTTTAAATTCCACTATTTTTATAAAGTCAATTACTCACACATTTCAGCATCTAACAAAGGATGACATCCCAGATTCATTCATACTCCAAAAAAAAGGTGTTTTTTGGTCAAACCTATTTAGAGACAGATCTTACGGAGTCCCTGCTGTGGGTATCAATGGCAATCTTCCACAACAGTGCAGTTCTGGAAGAATTCACAATGTCATTATTCTGAGGCTAGGGAAGAAATAATGCTCAAATAGTCATCTAACCTACAGAAACTTTCATGTCATCATTTTTTTTTAATTGTAAGGTAAAGCATCTTAGTTTTCCTTCTAAGACCTACTATAGGGCCTCAGAATTTAAAGTCATCCTTTCCAAGTCCCCCATAACACACATTATTAACTACCTAGAGACAAGAAATGGGTCCAGGAGATCTTTTTGGTTCCTTTCCAGCTCTAAGACACATGCACATAACTAAGAGTTCATTACATTTCTACACTCAATTTTGCCGTCTCTGCAGCGTTTAAGCACTTAAAAATGCCATGAAGCATTTCCACTATCACCTGCAAATGCCCATTGAGAAAGAGTCTCAGATGATTCTGAACAGCTCCCAGATGATGCTGGTGCTTTTTGGTCTGGAGACCACACTTTGAGAACCATGGGTCGAAGGCAGTGCTTCTCAAATTTTAGCAAGCACTAGAATCACCTGGAGACCTTGTGCAACCACAGATACCCAGGTCCCACCTTAGAGATTCTCATTCGGTAGGTCTGTTTTGAGGACCTGAGAATTTGCATCTCTAACTAACTCCTAAATGATACTGATGGTGCTGGTCTGTGGTTCATACTCTGGGTAGCCCCGGTTTAGACTGAGTAGTGAGTGTTAAGCCTTTTTTGTCAGCTCCCACATACGTGAGGACTGACTCATTTCTGCATGGAACACTCCTCTGAGATAAGCACTTCCCAGGTTTTTCATCCCCCTTTTTCCCTAATCAAGGAACTATTGTGGAATGCTAGTGAGTGTGTCATTGACAGGGGCAACTTTAAATTCCACTATTTTTATAAAGTAAATTACTCACACATTTCAGCATGACATCCCAGATTCATTCATACTCCAAAAAAAAGGTGTTTTTTGGTCAAACCTATTTAGAGACAGATCTTACGGAGTCCCTGCTGTGGGTATCAATGGCAATCTTCCACAACAGTGCAGTTCTGGAAGAATTCACAATGTCATTATTCTGAGGCTAGGGAAGAAATAATGCTCAAATAGTCATCTAACCTACAGAAACTTTCATGTCATCATTTTTTTTTAATTGTAAGGTAAAGCATCTTAGTTTTCCTTCTAAGACCTACTATAGGGCCTCAGAATTTAAAGTCATCCTTTCCAAGTCCCCCATAACACACAGCATGACATGCAAGTGGCCACTCAACTTGGGCCTCTCTCTACCTCTAGTGGAAATAGAACTCTTTACTTGTCTTCCACATTTTAGCATTGTCAGAAATTTCTTGGCTGGGCACCGTGGTTCATGCCTGTAATCCCAGCACTTTGGGAGACTAAGGAGGGTGGATCACCTGAGGTTGGGAGTTCAAGATCAACCTGGCTAACATGGTGAAACCCTGTCTCTACTAAATATAAAAAATTAGCTGGGCGTGGTGGTGCACGCCTGTAATCCCAGCTACTCGGGAGGCTGAGGCAGAAGAATCGCTTGAACCCAGGAGGCGGAGGTTGCAGTGAGCTGGAATCACATCATTGCACTCCAGCCTGGGCGATGGAGTGACACTCCGTCTCCAAAAAGAAAAGAAAGAAAGAAATTTCTTCATCTTCTCATATGTAAAATAGGATGCCAGATGGTGGAAATATGTTTCAGCTGGCAGTATTTGGGAGATTTGGGAGTCATTTCTTTCATCATTGCTTCTAAGTTTCTAGTTGATGAACCTGAAGCCTGAGGAAAGCGCCATCTTGGTCAAACATTGGTTTCCAGACTTGTGTGCATCTGTGTGACCCACCACTCTGCTCAGAGCCTCTGGCCAGGACTCACCTGACCCCTACAGCTGTGCCGTGTGACTGATAGGACAAGTCTACAAATGGTGGGTTTTTCTCATGCCTGCTGAAGCAGGGACTAGGAAACCATAGAAAGAACCAAGGGAGGGAGTGTTTGAGACTGCCTCGAAACTCATGGGAAGGACTTGTTTGTTTGAAAATAACAGGAGACAAATAGTTGACATTAAGTCTGAAGAGAAGCTGTGGGCTTTTATAATTTCCTTCAATTCCAGCACAAAGGTTCCATTTTGTGTCCCTGTAAATGAAATGCAAACCAGCAGTCTACAGACAGAAACAGCATTGACGGGAGGGGCAGGAGGCAGAGTGTTGAAGCGGCTTTCTTGTTTTTCCTACAGACACAAAGCCCATGTTCAGACCACTGGGCTTTCAGGGCCAGCTCCCCACTCCCCCCACTCAATCTCTCATCCCACCATTTTCAGAATCTAGTCTGATAGACCGGGTTTGGCCTAGATCATTCAGTTACCTGGAACGTGAAACAATCCATCTTGATCACCTTCCTTAACTTCTTAGGACCTCAGTGGTCACTTACAAAATGAGGATGAGGATGAACTGCTGTCCCGGAGAGACACAGTTCTGTAAATTTTTTTTTTTTTTTTTTTTTTTAGAGACAGGGCCTCACTCTGTCACTCTGGCTGGAGTGTAGTGGCACGATCATAGCTCACTGCAGCCTTCAACTCCTGGGCTCAAGCAATCCTCCTGCCTTCACCTCCTGGGTAGCTGGGACTACAGGAACACACCACCATACCTGGATAATTTTTTCTTTTTTTAAGTAGAGACAGGGGTCTCGCTATTTTGCCCAGTCTGATCTCAAGCTCCGGGGCTCAAATGATCCTCCCACCTCTGCCTCCCAAAGTGCTGGGATTATAGGTGTGAATCATAACACCTACCCCACAGTTGCTTTAAAAATATCTGGAAATTGCTTTCTTTGCCACATCTACTGCGAGAATGAAGACCGTTCTCAGCCATCAGACTGCCAACATTCTGGAAAATGTTGACATTACTCTGAAGGGACGCACAGTTATTGTGAAGGGCCGCAGAGGGACTTCAATCACATCAATGTAGAACTCAGTCTTCTTGGAAAAAAAACAAAAAAGGCTCTGGGTTGACAAATCGTGGGGTAACAGAAAGGAACTGGCTACCATTCGGACTATTTGTACTCGTGGACAGAACATGATCAAGGGTATTACACTGGGCTTCCATTACAAGTTGAGGTCTGTGTATGGTCACTTCCCCATCAATGTCATTATCCGGGAGAGTGGGTCTCCTGTTGAAATCCGAAATTTCTCGGGTGAAAAACACATCCGCAGGGTTCGGATGAGACCAAGTGTTGCTTGTTCAGTATCTCAAGCCCAGAAAGATGAATTAATCCTTGAAGGCAACGACATTGAGCTTGTTTCAAATTCAGCGGCTTTGATTCAGCAAGCCACAACAGTTAAAAACAAGGATATCAGGAAATTTTTGGATGGTATTTATGTCTCTGAAAATGGAACTGTTCAGCAGGCTGATGAATAAGATCTAAGATATATCCAGCTATAGAAACAGGATGCCGGATGATTCCTAAGACCTACTTGTGATATTAAAAGATGTAATAAAAGACCTATTGATTTGGAAAAAAAAATGTTTGGAAATTAAAATGCTTGTAAACCAGTGGTCCCCAAACTTTGCAGCACATTGGAATCACTAGGGATCTTGGAAAAATACAAATGTAGGCGTCCACTCCCAACATCATGATTTGATTGGAATGGGATGCAGTACAGGCATTGGAATTAAAAGTTTCCCAGACAATTTCTCTGTGCAGCAAAATTTGGGAAATGCTGTTCTAGAATCTAAAACAAAAAAACCACTGAAGATTTATAAAATATTATTATTAACTACTTAGAAACAGAAAATGAACCAGGTGCGGTGGCTCACACCTGTAATCCCAGAACTTTAGGAGGCCAAGGTGAGTGGATCACTTGAGGCCAGGAGTTCGAGACCAGCCTGGACCGCATGGCGAAACCCTGTCTCTACTAAAAATACAAAAATTAGCCAAGCACAGGCTTGGCACCTGTAATCCTAGCTACTCGGCAGTCTGAGGCAGGATAATTGCTTGAGTCCAGGAGGAGATTGCAGTGAGCCGAGATCACCCCACTGCACTCTAGCCTGGGTGAGAGAGAGAGAGAGAAAACGGGTCCAGAAGGTCTTTTCAGTCCCTTTGCAGTCCTA